CGATGATAGTGCTGGTGCGGGTGCGCCGGCTGGCGGCCGCCGATCGGGCTCGGACTCCGGGACCGTTGCTCCAGGCTGGTCGTGCCGTAGTGCTGGGCGCGCTCGATGCGATGAATGGGACTCGGCGTCCCCGCCGGACTCGTCGACGCGCTCCAAGGACCTGACGCGGAAATCATCGTTAGACCGCTCGGTTCTCGGCTGCGCCGCTTCTTCAGCCTCGTCTAGCTGTCCTACTGGGGCTGCACTGCGATACACGGTGAGGACATTCGACGGGATACGCCAGAACTACCGGACGACGTCTTCCGGCTGAGAAGTGTTGCCCATTGCTTGTTTACTATGGGGGTCCGCAGCCGAGCCGGCCATTGTTTCGGCAGCGAAGGGGGCGGGACCCTTCCACTCGCGACGCTCGGCATTCGAGCGGTCATTGTTGACGGGCTCGAGGGGCACGAGTGGGGGAGTCCCCTTGTTCTTCACTGTTGAAGTAAAGGTCGGCTTAGCTACCTCGCTTTTATCCTCTACAGATGATTACTATGCGAAAAGGATATCCTGATTGGAGTTCCCCTGACTTTCTGACTTCTCAGGAGCTGACACTTCTCAACAGGACGATGGTTTTCTGGTTTTCAGGATTATCTGTTCCAATGATCTCGAGCTTCCAGTTGTCTGAACTGTTGGTCATATAAACCCGCGTTCTACCGCGTTAGGAGTGGATTAGTCGGAACGTTCGGCAGTTCTGGCGTGGAAGAAAGGGGGCCGCTTACGTTTCAAGTCGAACGTCGTTAGCAATGATCTCTAAGAGACTAGCTATCGTTAGTTTACGTGTCAGAGTGTTAATTTTGAACTAGAGCGATAGAGTCCGGAGTCTTGGGGCGACAGTCGAGTGCCAGGGTGTTGCGTGCTGCTCGGGGGGTCGTTGCCCTCGCCCGTTGGCATGCTGGGAGGCTACTCTATAATTGCTGCGTGGGAATTCGAACGTTCGGTGCATCGTACCAGCCGCATGCCGTTCTCTAACGATACGAGGCGTCCCCTGCGCGTTTCTCTCGTCGTTGGACGTTCGTTCAACGAGCCGTCGCCTCGACGGACTGCTACGGTACGGGTCGTGCACTCTCTAAAAGGGCTCAAGTCTCTGGCTATTCTAGATCTTCTACTCTACCGATCCGGGGCTTGAAAGATAGATAGAGGAAGGAAGACAGAACTGCATTCTCCTACGTGTGTAACTGTGCGAGGAGTGTGCGAGTGCGCTCGATACTTGAAGCGAGTGTGTTCGATACCGTGCACGGTGACTTCCGGTGTGAGAGGTCGGAAAGATTCGGAAAAAAAAACGAATTCGTTACAAATAAGCGTCGTTCGCTCGTCGAACGAATTTGTCCGGTTTGTTAGCTGATATCCGTGTGTGTTTGAGTTGTGTATGGCTGTGTATGGGTGTGTGTGTGTGTGTGTGTGTGTCGTGTACGATCGCGTGACGTGTGTGGAGCAGACAAGACTATACTTCGTGTGGGCTCGTTGAGAATGTGGTACTGTGTGGAAAATGGTGGAGAAAGATGATAAAAGTAACAGGAGAGAAAGACAGAGATAGAGATAGACAGAGAGAGAGAGAGAGAGATAGAGAATGAAAAGAAAATATTGCTTCGGAACAGGGAATCAAACGGAGTTGCGAAAGAAATTACCATCGTCGTAATAGTCGCAGTGGTCGTAATAGTCTTTGTAGGCGCATAACAGAACAAAACGAAGAAACGTATTACATCGAGTGACACAGAGCCTCTGCCTCTTGCGAGTAAACCATTTATAGCGGCATTCGTATTTTTCTGAGTCGCCGAGCCGCGGATCCGCTGCGACGATCGACGCACTCCATCGATCGAAATAAATAAAACGATCGGACATCATTCGAAATCGATGGAAGCCGTGCGATCGGCGACAGGGGATCCGCAGCTCGGCGTTCGACAGTAAAAGGACTTATCGTTGCACCGTGTGTTCTCTTGGCCGGTATGCTATCATTTCTATCTTGTACCTGGCTTCCGGGGCCGATGATTGTACTGTGACGGTGGATGATGGGTGTGCCGCTGGAGCTCGACCACGTTGCTAACCGTGTCGCTGAACCCTAGCCCATCGTGTCGATAGTAAGCGTGATGATGGTCGTTCCTCATTCGACGCGGCGACTGCGATCCGTGCACAACCGGCGAGTGCCTTCTACGGAATAAAAGAGCCGATCTTAGATACCCGATCGCATCGTGACAACTGTCTTAACGGTTGATTAACAGTTGCAACGCGCAGGTTAACACATACGAGACCAGTAACGCAGTTCTCCGGCATTCGAATGTTATTCGTCGCCAGCAACGTGGCGCTGCGTTCACATCTCTCCCAGAGAGTGCCGATCGCTACGGTATACTTTTTGCTCGGCTCTAGAGACTCTGGGGAATCGTGTGTGCGGTCGCGAATGCGTTAATGAGGTAGAGAAACGCGTGTGTTACCTTAAACTCGGCGAACGAGACGGTTGTTTAGCTGGATGGGCGGGCGGATGAAGCCTCTCCGCGGCGCGCGTGAGACTCTCGAGACTACCGGCTCGCGAGTCGCTAACCACGACGTCCTGAAGCTCCATCTAAACGAACAGACTCGTCGGTTAGGGGACCGTACTCGCCGGGCGACGTCTGATCAAGGAGTATAAGAGGAGAGTCGGGGTGTTGAGAGCCGGTTCTTTGCCTTCGTTACTAACGATTCCCGCCTCGCGCACACAAATCTTTATCTTCCTCGACTCGCGAGACGCCTTTTGCCTCCGAAACCCACGACGAACCTCCGCGTCCGAGCTTCCGCCCTCGGGAACACTTGCCAGCGAGGGATCGACTATATTTTCGAGAGAGCAATCGATCGGCAACGGAGATTCCGGAGACCCGAGCGCAGAGGGTCGCCGTGGCTAGAGATTTTTGCATATCTCCTGTCGATATCGACGAGCGACAGAATCGCGAGCAGATGTAAATGAGAAGATAACAATCAGCGAAACTGGAGCAGAGTATAAGACGGTATACAAGCACATGTGCGCGCGTGTACAGGCATGCAGTTGAAAAAAATAATCCTCTCGGGCATGCACATGCTCCGGCCGAGCGAGTCTCGTCGCACAGGGGTGGAGAGAGGTGTGTTGTGAGAAGTCTCGGCAAAGAGAGAATTGTTTACGAGAACAGAGAAGAAAGTGCGGCTTGGGTTCCACTACCTTTTTGAGTCGTGACACGGTTCCAGAGGTGTCGATTACTTACCGGGGATTCTATAAATATATATACATATATATAGCATATAGACAGTGTATATGTATATATGTATATATACGTATATGTTTACGTATATGCGGGCATACATGAAAATATTACGACAAACAACGAAACGGAGAACGAGGCACTCGCGACCACGGCTGAGGTTCCTGAGTGCTTCGTTCCTCTCGAGAGTAGAATTTCTCAAGGCCTGTGAAAGCAGCTAGGGACAAGGGTGGGGTTACTCTAATACCGACCTCGAACAATACTAAAACGGAGTAGAATCACTCGGTAATGGAGGTAATGAGGGTGGTGGTGGTGGTGGGTTCATCTAGGTGGCTCTCGCTAGACGCGCTCGGTTTCTAATCGGTCGTATTTACAGAGAGATACACGCTCTAACATTTACCGGTCAAGATCGGCTCGGTTGTTCCCGGGGAAACGTGATTGATAATGGAATGATAATACGAATCGCGAGCTTTTTTAATGTATCACCAGAACGAATGAGAGATAGACAACGCGAGGCGATCTTGATTCTCGTTCGCGATTCTGATTGACTCGAACCCGGATCTACGCTCTAACATTTACCGGTCAAGATCGGCTCGGTTGTTCCCGGGAAACGTGATTGATAATGGAATGATAATACGAATCGCGAGCTTTTTTTAATGTATCACCAGAACGAATGAGAGGCAGACAACGCGAGACGATCTTGATTCTCGTACGCGCGCGATTCTGATTGACTCGAACGCGGATCTATTCATCTAGAGTATCTACCCTAATGATCTAGTATCGTGGAAAGACAAACGCAGAGCAACCGAATGATCTAAGACTGGTGTACGAAAAGAAAACACCGTCTACCGAGGAGAATTCGCTGGTGTGTCGCAGGCTAAATCTAAGTTGGTGTTGGTCCTCGGCGAGCTAAGCCCCGCGGCCTCCGTTCCGCGTTTACGTCGGCGCCGATCTCTAAATCGGCCGACCGGTCTACGATCTAAGGAAAGCGTGTGTCGGCGCATACAGATTCTAAGAGACGCGAGCGTCGCTCCCGCGAATCGGCGCGCTCCGTTGCTCGGACTGGAGGAGACGTCCGCAAAACGCGGTTTTCCTTCTACGACGCGGGCTCGTTCGATCTAGCCGCGGAGGGTGTTAGTAGCTTCGGTCGATCTATCGAGTCGTCTCGCGGAAAGATAGGGGTGTTTTTGTTTGTTAATTGAATCGAGCCAAGAGACCTTGTGGTAACGGATCGAGGAGCGAGGTGCGTAGGTATTCTGGTGTTGATAATACGAGGGTGGTCGGTGAGCATGATGATGATGGTGATGGTGATGGTGATGGTGGTGGTGGTGGTGATGGTCATAGTATAGATCTTTGTCGGTATCGTAGTATTGGTCGTGATGGTGATGGTGGTAGTAGTAGTTTTGATCCTGCTGGGAGGGCACCTCAGCCAGCAATGGCTCTAGCTCGGGGGCGCGATCCTCGTCATTAACTACGGGTACAACCCCAGACCCACCCCCTCCCTGGCTACTCTCTCCGCTGCTGCCTAGTATATCGTACTGGTGGGACATCTTCCAGTTCACCTTTTTATTTCTGAAATCAGAAACCACGCGACCATTCATTAACAGCAGCACCATACATTCCGACTCATTTCTTTCGGAACGACCAATTTCAAATATAGCTTTTGCATTCCACGCTCACCCTTCTACGAATGAAATTCATTTTACTTAAGAAATCATCGACTGGCAATTAGTAAGAAACCAACAATTCTATTACAGGTGTATCGCATACTTAAAAGCGACCAATTGACATTTGACGTTTCAAAACGGGTTTCGAGTGCAAAATCTATAAAATATACGGAATGATCGAGGGACATCGGTTTTCCTGATGTGTAATCCCTATAAAAATTCTAATAGATTATTTTCGGTTTCTTCAGACATTATAGTATTCAAGTCAAAGCTATTTATTTTCATGATTTATTTTTTTTATGATTTTTCATCGTAAGAAAGACTGTTCAATCTTTCGCGAATAAGAAGCGAAAAGCGAAGAATATAATCGGATTTCGATCCCTCGATCTAGCCTGTCGTCGAATCGAGTTATTTCTCTGTATACTTATTGTTCCATTGAAACGACAGTACTCGTCGAACGCGTTAAAAACGTCAGGATACCTGTGCTCGACGGCTGCATGGACCCCGAGGGTCCCATCGTCTTCCTCTCGGAGCTCCTTGCGCTGGTCTATCTTCCTATCCGGGGTCGGCCGTACCACCGGCTCGAGGCTGTTCGCCCTACTCCCGGTCCCGTGACTATTTCCGGTGTGATTCACCGCCGTCACGTCCAGTATGCAGTTGAGGAAGGCCGATTGCTAAATGCGAAACGTGCGAGAAACCACACCGGCTATCAGAGCTGATCGACGAGAGGTTTCGTTGATTTTATCTTATCTTTTTTTCATTTTTTTTTGTACATTATTTGTTTGTTCCTCGTTTGCTACTCGGTGGCATTGGTTTTGATGTCTCGTCGATCGACGCTTTTTCCGTATCGATCGTTCGATCCTCGAACCAATCCATTCCACGGGTATCGCGCAAACGGGATATATATATATACATACATACGTATAATATGTACAGACAGGCACATACAGGCTTTCTTTCTCTCGCTTCTTCTCGGCGTCCCTCGAGAGAACCCTCGAGAGGATCGGTCAGAGAATCGGAGGCAGAGTTCGTTCTTTTCTATCGTTCTAGCGACGGAAAAGAGAGACTCCGTTCTTTCGTTGCGTTTCAAATTCAATCGAACAAAGAGAGAATAAAAAAGAGGCCATGCCACATACACAGTGAAGTAATAATCGTGACGGTGCGCTTGAAAAGTGTCTGCTGGAAAAGCTTCGTCGCGGCTCCCGAAAGTTTTCGTGTGTAAGGCGAACGTACAGTGGCGTTCGAAATTTCTCGGATCGTTTTTCGAGATTTTCTTACAGATTGCAGACTTTAAGGACTTTTCGTTATTGTGTCATGTCGGGAGGATAGTGTGAAAAATTAGTAGCATCTGTTCTTTGTACATATTTGTTCATAAATAATGCATAATAACAAAGACAAAGTAATATTTCCTTCGTAGTATTCGTCCATTAATCCTTTGCACTCGAGAATATTTTTCTCAGTAAATATTCCTTATTTTCTGACGAAATGTCATTGATATTTGCAATTAACATGAAGAAATACCTTGCATAAATTAAGCGACAGAACTATTTTATTCATATTGAATTTTCAATTTTACAATTTTCTTGGGTCAAATCAAATCGAGTGCAAAGGGTTAAATACGTCCTTATCCCTTCTATCCACGAAAATTCCTCGAAACTCATCTCATCGTAGGTAAAATTCCAAAAACGATCCTTGAGGTAACTTCCGAACACCACTATACACATACGTGTATAAGTAACGATGGAACCGCGGAACAACGCGAATCTCTAGCTTTCTTTCCCGGTCGTTCTTTTTTTTCCCTTTTGTTTGCGACAGTCGGATCATCGTACTCCGATGACAAAGCCTGTATATGTATGTTGAGAAACGAGCGATACCTTACGTTACGAACACCTTAGTACTTTAAATACCGAACAGTTCTGTTCGTGTGTAACGTATTACGAGCGAGCAGATACATACAGACAGGTACATACACGTGTACGCAAGACCGGGACACCGAATTGGTTTACGATACTGTGGGGGATGTGCAAATGTTCAGTAAACATGCAACAACTAGAGAGATCCGCGAATCGTCGGCGTTCCCTGTGCACCTGCGACCGACCGTTGCATCGAACCTGTCGCTTTCGTCTCAGTGGTCAGATTCGAAGACGAAAGCCTTCCTTGCACGAACGTTCGGCTGACACGATTGGCTGAGGCGGTCACGCCCAGCGATCGCGTCGCAGAGTGGGGAGAGTCTCGACTCGCGATTGTCTCCGCCATTACGACGCGACGAGCGCCAAGTTCCCAGCAACGGACGGTGCAATGTTATTCGAATCGAGAGAGGAACGCGGACGGTTCGCGGTCGTTTAATTCTAAACTGTAACTAACGCGTATCGTGATGCGAACAAGTGGTGGACAAACACAGAATTACACAAGCCAATCACAACGAACAAACGTGACACTGGGGGCGTGGGGAAAGCTACGAAACGGAAGCTAACTGTTCCGGGTATCGTGATACACATAGACACATTTGTATACGCACACACAAAACGGCAGCAAGTGTAATCGGGTACTAGATATATATATATATATTGGTTTACTCGACATGCCTACGCACGACGCCATATACACGGCTACGGTTCATCTAAATGCTCTGTGTATACTTCCAACAACTCTGAGATACTTTCAAATACGAACAAATCTGCAAACAAGTGTTCCGCGAACACTTTCTCTAGGCTACCGTCGTGCTGTCCGTAGATCCATCGGTTGATGTTATATCAGTCTACCGTCGTGAATCGGATAGTTTAGCGAAATATGAGCGCGATTTCATCGTTAACGACACCGCGTTCTAGATTGTCGATCGGATTTTCGACCGGTTCGCGACTGAAGCTAGGACAGCACGGTGCTACGGGATGCTTCAAGATCGAGAAAAGCTTCCTCGAGCGGAAGCGGATTCTCCCCTTGATCCACGAGGAAAAGAATCGGCCGGCTCTCGGACAGAGCCACCTTTGCCCCGACGATTCCTCGAGGAGGGCAAAGGCTGCGTCGTCCATTGTCCGGCGAATAATTTCCCTCGAAGCGTCGGAAAACATTTGGTTGTTCACAGCATTGGTTTTGCTCCAGGACAAAAGATCCTCCTCGAATTTTCAAACGCGTAAACCCCGGCAAGCTACTTCGTCGTTTCGTGTCGTATTGTGTCGTGTAGTTTCTTTTCGTGTCGCGTGTGCGCAGAGTAGAGACCGATCGTGTCGGGCGTGTCGTTGTAGAGTAGAATTTGTGGGAAAGAAAACCGTGTCGAGTGGTGAAGTAGAAGCGATCGTGGAAGAGAGAGAGTGTGTCTATATACGTACAGCAAGGCGCGCGAGTAAGCGTCTACGGAGACGGTACTCGGTCTAGAACCGTACTAGAGAGTCGTTGCTACGCTACTTGGCGGCTGGCGGTGGTTGTCGAACAGTGTAACGGATAATAGATAATAGACAGAGGGACTAGAGATGAGACGGGGCCGAGAGGGGGGAGAGACGGGGAACATTTCCATCCAAAAACTAGCAAAGAACGTGGAGAATCTATGCGTCTCGAGGAGCGCGCGTCTCGCGTCTGACTATTTTATATTAAATAGTCTAATATAAAATAGTTTAATATAATCGATACTATTCTATATTAAACAATATCGTGGCGATATTATAATAGTAGCGATATTGTTATATATTAATATAAAATAGTTTAATATAATATTGCTACTATTTTATATTAAACGATATCGTAGCGATATTATAATAGTAGCGATATTGTTATATACTAATATAAAATAGTTTAATATTATATAAAATCGCTCGATTGCGAATACTCCTGCACAAAATATCGACTTTAGAGTTCGAATGATAAGACAAGTTCATAGAGAAGTGATTTTTTATAAGATCGTTTCGGATCGAACGCGAGTTCCTCGTGACGGACTACGGCGGTGCTTAACAGGAGAATGTTCGATCTAAAGGAGCAGAAAGAAACGAAGAGTGGAAAACGGTTGCAGCAAAGAATCCATGGAATCTCCGATCGGCGATCGATAGAAAATGAATCGTTTAACAGGACACTATGCGAGATCTATGTAAGAATGCTCTCGATCTAGGATCGACTAATGCCGGACAAACTAGACTAGACTAATAGAAGAGACAGCGACGGGCTCGATCTCTAGCTAGACGATCTACGAGTACAAAGAAATCGGAAACGGTTCGCTAGACACGGCTAGACTGTGCGTCTATGATCGTGGCTAATTAAACGGAGCGACACTCGAGGCAAAAGGCGGGCTCTACGTAGATCGAGGATCGGACATTGTCTTCTGGTGGTCTGACGAGCTAAGTTTATCATTCTACGGAGGCTCGGTCGACTAGGTAAAACTTACTTGCACGCAGGCTAGATCGTGTTCTCGAGGACAAAGAGCCGGTCCACGTGGGCACGCGTGCGAACGACGCCCACGTGACACCGACACGACCACTAAAATGTTCTCGACGCGCGCCGCGACCTTCCGCATCGTCTTTTTTCGAGAGAAACGACCGATGCATAATTAAAACGAGGAAATCTTAGGATTTGAATTTCTCACGATTGAAAGAGATCGTGATCGAAGGTGGACTTCGGTGTTTCGTCGAAGGCGATGCGGAAGATCGGCCGCGCGTTCAACTAAGTAGTTCAAGTAATTAATCCTAGACTAGTTGCTTATTATCTGAAGAGGAAAACGTGCTGTTAGAAAAAGGAGGTACGTTGTAGGGAAAGACTAAAAAAGTTTCTAAGAGCTCTATAGTGAAACGTGTGAACCCGACGGATGCTCTAGTAAAAAGTACTTTCTGTAAGATACGTCAAGTGCCTAAGAAAGATGAAAAAAGTTCGAGCGTGTGTGACTGGTTCTCGGACGCAACCGCGGCTGATTTGTCTCTTCTCGTTCGATTTCCTTCGTCAATCGTCTCTTCAAAATCATTAGAATTGTATCTTGACGTTACAATTACCAGGCAGGTTAAACCAACTCATTCTTGACGTCCCGTTTTGCAATTACTAGGAAGCTGACACGTTTCACTGGGAAATGATTGTAGAAGTTGATTTAGCAATACGAATTGAATTTTAAATCAATGTGATTCAAACGAAATACGCTGAATTCAAATGAAATTGAATTTTAAATCGTGTATATAATTCAAAGGACGTATGTTTAGAGTTTCTACGGTAGTATTAGCGTTAAAAGCATTGAATATTCGAAATGATCTTGAGAAAATATAGTTTCAACCGAATACTATAATCAATGTCTGAAGAAACTGAGAATTATTATAATTTTTTCATAGAGATTACATACGAATCGTCTGAAACCTTTCTCCGAATGATTAAATTTGATTTACCACGCGAACTGAATTGCAAATCAATCTCGAAAAATCGGTTGAACTGCTTGGTAGTTGTAGCGTCTAGTAGGAACTTCGTTTTCGATCTCCGCAGCCGCCGTTGCGTCGCGTTCGTGAGTGATCGGTTGACAATAGAAGAAAAGTAAAGGAACGAACAGATCGTCTACGATGCGATAGAGGAACGTAACGGTTCAAAGAAAATGTACGTGTGCGGTCGGTTGTGTACGTGTGACCAGTTGTGTCGCAGAGACGTGGGTGTGCGCGTGGTGTGTCGATGCATAGAAAAAGAATGTGGGTGGAAGATCGAAAAAAGTTTGCAGCAGAGATACAACCGCCGGTTTCTAATCGGACCAACCTCTATGGAAGATTCTTACGCGTATTATGTACAGAGCCGATCTCGCGATCGCGAGATCGTTCCTACGTACGTACTCCGCGCGTATGTACACACGAGATTATTTAGCGTGTACGGGCTACTGTGTCTCTGCACGAGATAGTGATTAAGTTGAATATTAGAGAACGAAAGTAAAAACGGTATTATGTACAGAAAATGTTGAACCGTTCGTTGCGAGGGAACGATCGATCGATGATTCTAGAGGAAATTGATCGTTAAGTATATTATTATTCGACGAATAATTAAATGATTTATGGATTCCGGTATCGATTACAACAAAGGATCCCTCGCAGCGAGTGTTCGAACGTGTGAGAAATATGTGTTCGTTGAAAGAAAATTGGTGAACGTGGAAAGAAAAACGAGAACGTAAACGAGAAAAGGAAACGAGTGTATAAGATGATAATAAGTAAGAGAAAAGTTTAAGTACTACCGCCTGGGCTGCAGGACTTTGCCCAGCATTATCGTTATCGATAAGATCGTTATCGTTCTGGAAAACAAAGAGAAAAGACACAAAGAGATGATTGAGAGCTGCGTGAACATCCTCTTGTCTGGGTATACAATTACATAAAACCTATGTTGTAACTTCTGTAGTCAATAATAATAATCATAATAATAATGTAATCATAATAATAGAAACGATAATAAGAATAATAATAATCGTATTTAAATTACACCTACACTAAATATGACAATAGAATCAATGGTAACGGTAACAATAAATGTAACTTTCTATTCTCAATTAATTGACAGGTATCAAACTCACTGATCTGAGGCTCAAAACTCAAACTGTACTCATTTTCTATGATTCTTTAGTGGGAGACACGTATAAAATCAATTCAACACACAGATTCTTCTCTAATGATCTAATATCGTAACTCATTCAAGAAAACCATGTATCGTCCTAATTCTCTAGAGAAGTGGTATTCGTAAATCTACGCCGATCTATCGTTCGCTAGACGGTTCGAGACGACTCCGATCGTCGTGTCCCCGTAAAACAACTGTCTCCTCACGAAGGGGACACGATGGAGAACCATAGCAAACGATGTATCGACTAGAAACACAATCTACGTTAACCTGTTAATTGGGGAACAAGACGAGTCAACTCGTCCTTTCATTCGCCATTCTATTCGCCTGTTCGATTCTCGTCCCAATCGAATTTCATCGAAACACACCGTGGTATATCTACATCTAATTCCCGTTTTCCAATCAGCGAAATCGGGGAAACCTCTACCCCGCTCTCTCATTAACACTCGCGAGTCGATCGTTTCGAAGGGACGATGGCGTCCAGTTAACAGGTTAATCGAACTGCACGAAATTCGAATCGTGACGTTCAAGGAGGGGTGGACACATCGAAAACTGCTTTTCTACACATATCGAGTTCTGGCTAAATCAACTCAACGGACAGAGATTGAACGTCTTCCTTCGTTCGATAGTGAGAACTCAACTAATCGCGGAGTCCGGCCGGTTCGTTGTCCCGGATTGAGTCTCACCCGATCGCGCAGGGAGATTATCTCATTTTTCTTTGATCCACCGTGCGAGTAATATGAGATGTATTTTTCAATTGAATATATCGAAGTTCTTTCTTCTTTCCTCCCCGTCCGAAAGGAAATCTGAGCAACGCACACCGGGAGAACGAACGCGGCCGTCGATCTCGATGATCTCGTTACTCGTTCGAGTACATACGAATCCGTGAGAATTCTCGGCACTACTGAGCACACAGTAAAATACAGCGTCAGAACGTTTCGGGGACTCGGGATGCGTAAGCTTAGAATCGCTCTCGAAGTGATCCGGGAACGTTTCGAGTGTTTCGGACATCTTTAAAGACGTTTCCCGCCGACCGATCGGCTCGACGGCGTGCGAAATGCTGAAGCGCCAGAGTCCGACGCCGTCGCCGACGTCGCGCGATACTAAGCTTGCCGTGGGGTGGTCAAGAAGCTACTTTGGAATCATTGGAGATGTTCTATTCGAGTGTTCCACACGTCGGCCGTGTGAAATCCGGTCACGGAAGTTAAGCGAACGACAAACATCCATTCGAACTCGGTCCTCGGCTGGCTCCCACGAGCCTCGCTCGCCTCGCGATTCGCCCGATTCCGTTGAATCGGGGTTTCGTTCGTTCCCCGGGGATCGCGGGGAACGAACACAATGGACAGAGAATAGATGGAAGCGAGGGGGCGAGTCGTGGGAGCGCAACATAGAGGTTCTGCTCGTCTGAAAAGGGAACACCGTATCGCCTAGGGTCGTCGAGTTTCGTACGAGTGGAGGGACACTCGAGTGAAACTGATGGGACACTCACCTGTCCGGTCGACTCTATCTGACCAAACCTGGTCGTCCTCCAACTTTCGAGTATCAGAAGGCAGACGTATATCTTACCAACGGTCAGCTTGTCTTTGTTTAACTCTGCGAAACGGAGTTAGAAAGGTTCCGTGAGTATTCCGACGTTCTCTACGCCGGGGGAGGGATATCGTTTCAGGGAAAGAGGCTCGTTACCTTCGTTCCTAGGTATCAAAAGGTCCAATATCTTTTTCGCCTGCAGTGGCCAGATGCTTCTGATCGTGTCCCTCAGCTCCTCGTTCGCTTGGTTCATCTCGTCGGCTGGAAAACAGGGAACTTTCGCGTGAAAGCGCTCGATTTCTCGCATTACAGAGAACGTTCATTCGTTACTAGAGACCAGTCTATCGTTATATAGTAGTCATTCACTCGAACTCAAACGGGTTAACACTTTGTACTCGGAAATTTTTCACTAGAAATATTTCAACATTTTCTGACGAGACGAAGACGATATTTTGTGGAACCAACTCGACGAGAAATTCACGCGAATTGACGGACAAGGCTGTTTTACGTCAATATTTCTCAGATCGATGCCCCGTATGAAGTATAATATTAAATATCAAACTTTATAGTTTCATAATAACTTATATGTTTTAACACTAGCTTTACGGAACGCGTGAAATTGACGCATATTGGATTTTAGAAATATTATTTTGTAAACGTTTACGCCAATTTTGATTGATGCGATCACACTGACATGCACCCCAATTACCTACTCTCAAATCTCCAGTTTCAATCTAAATAAACGAGCATCAATTCTTTTAGGAATAATAGAATCAAGTGTACAATAACTAAACCTAGTGTTAAGGAAAGGATCGAAGCGTCTAATAAAGATAATCCATCGGTCTAGCTCACCGCGTCTCATCTTGATGCTGAGATTCTCGCGGATCAGGGCGAACAGCGTGGTGGTGAAGTTCACTTTCCCGTCGACGTCGACCGGCATGTTCATTCTGATCAGCTTCTTGTATGCTAACCGGTTCGGGCACTTGTTGCCAAACCCCAACGGCGGGTCCATGTTCTTCAGCATGTCGTACATCTCGGTGTAATGGATCTTGCCGGTCGCGTTCGGGTCGTACTCCGCCCAGATCCTGACGAACTCGTCGAGGTGGTGGGCGCCGAGGATCGACGAGTCCCTGGTCAGGTAGTCGAAGTTGTCCATGATGACGGCGACGAACAGGTTCAGCATCAGGAACGAGCAGAAGAATATGAAAGAGACGAAGTACGCGTACGCGATGTTCGAGCCGCAGCCGCCCGGCTCCTGCTTGCCGGCCTTCACGTCGCACGGCCGGCCCTTTATGCAGGACAGCATGATGTTCGGCCAAGCCTCGCCGGTCGCGCACCTGCCAACGTACGTTCTATTATTACACGGTTCCGCTCCGCTCGATTTATATCTATGGTAAACACGCATCGTCTCCGATTCGTTCAAGCGAATCGGCTAAACTTGGTCGTCCGGCGATTTTAGGGCTCGTTCGAGATGTATAGATCATGTGCGGAATAGTTGGAATTAGAGCTGGTTGAATTCTGTGACGATCAACCCTTTGCGGTCGAAAGATTTTCACTGGGGTATTCGAGATTTTTTTATAATGCACAGAAGACTGACATTGAGGAAATAGGACTGTATATTAAGAGATAATAATGAATGTTGAAACACAATTTAGTTATTCTTTAAACATAACGGTGAAAATCAAATGGTTTCGTTTACCATATTAACCCCTTGACCTATGATCTCTCTCAACTCTGATACGGCTATTTTATCATTAATAATTTATTGAAAAAGAGAAGTTCTAAGCGTATGTTATACCTATATTTCCTTTTAACCCTTTGCACCCCAAAAGTTTTTCACCAGAAATATTCAATTTATTTTTATAAGATACAGCTGACATTCTTTGAACCAACTTAACGAGGAATCTATTCACAAAATAATATCGACAGATTAATCAAGACTTAATATTAAGTAGGAAACTTTACAGTTTTGATGCACCAATCGAGTGACTGAGAGGCAAAGTGCAAAGGGTTAAGTATACTAGTTGATTACAGGGGAATATTTCCTTTGAATTCGAATGAACTGATATATTTGTTGAATCCTGTTGAATCTTCACGAGTCTCACTCGTAGGGCAAGGGGTTAACAGAAATTCCTATGAACTATCAAAGAAAAATTCCAGTAAGGATCTATATAGGAACTTTCAAAAGATTCCAATTTTGTACCGAATCTAATAACGGCCGAGCTTCCGAGCGCAAAGGGTTTCCACCGAAGAAATCGCCGGACGATGAACCGCATGCAAATTACTGAAGCGAGACACGTCGACAACTGTAGCTTCCGCGGAATGCTTTCCGCTTCCGAGTGGATCGGCTACGAGCTCGTTACTTCGTAAAGCAAATATTACTTGGTACAAATGCTAATGGATAAATAAGTAAATCGATAGCGAGCGTTCCTCCCGTTTCTCCGGTTGAACGCGAAATCGGTCTCGGAGGGAGGTCATGCAAACGGGAGAGACCGTCTCCTGTGCAGAAACACCAAAAGCGATCAACAAAACTGGCCGAGGGCAACTCGGCTGTTACTCTACTTCGCTGGATAATCAAACTACGCAGCGTGTGTTTGGTTTCGTTCTGTGCGCGTGAGGCGTAGCTCAGCCTGTTCCCGGTCGCTGTGTGTCGTCGCGTTTTCGAAAATCGAGTGTCGAGTAACGACGATCGAGAACGTCGGGAACACGTGAATGCGAACACTGGCGCGTGAGTGCTTCGTTATTAGCGGAAAAGCTGTGCTTTGTCTGATTTCTTTTTTTTTTCT